ACCCCTTTTCCTTTATTATACTTATTTCCGCTGCAAACAATTTGAATGTTTAAATAATAAATAAAAGTTCATTTCTATTTCAAAGTATTGGGTGGGAAATTTGGGGGTGTTACAAGGTGAAAGTGATTCAAGATAGACTCAAGGCTGCCCAAGATCGGCAGAAGAGCTATGCAGATAAACGACGAAGGACGTTGGAGTTCGAGGTCGGCGATGAGGTGTTTCTGAGGGTGTCGCATTGGAAAGGGATCATCAGGTTCCTCAGTCGGGGTAAGCTTAACCCACGCTACATAGGCCCATTCAAAATCATTGAAAGGATTGGGGTTGTAGCGTACCTGCTTCAGTTAACTCTAGAATTAGAAAAGATTCATAACGTATTTCATGTTTCTATGCTCAAGAAGTATGTACAGGACCCGTCACATATTCTTGAGAAACCACCGGTAGAAATCCGGGAAGACCTTCACTATGCGGTGCAGCCGGTAAAGATCATGGACCGACAGGTAAAGAAGCTAAGGAGTAAAGAGGTACCCATGGTGAAGGTACTTTGGAAGAGTGATCGTGTCGAGGAGCAAACTTGGGAAGTGGAGACCCTGATGAGGGAACAGTATCCATTTCTATTTGACTAGACACGTGGATTTTGGGGACGAAATCCCAAATAAGGGGGGTAGAACTTGTAACACCGCCCCCAAGTATTTGTACTTTATCAAATTATGTATTGAACTCTGGGAAATGAATAAACGCATTTTATGTAATTGTAAATTTTTATCATTTCTCTTACGTGGATAATAGAATTCACGTGGGGCCCACACCGGGAGCGGGGGCCACCCGATATTATCGGGACCACATATTATATTCATTTGGGTCAATATAATATGTGTATAATGGTGGATAGCCTGGTTGGGCCATAGAAGTTATGTGAGTAACCGTTAGAGCAAATAAAGCTCATTTATCGGTACCGAGATAATATCAGATAAAAAGCCATAATACATTATGGAGACCATCAATTAAAAGTTGGGGAAAATACATTCGTTCAAATAGCCAATAATATTTGGAAGAATGATAAATATTTCATTTGACCCGATAAAATGAAATATAGTTAAAACAGTCTGGAAAATACAACTTTCGGGACCAAGTGTACACTCGGGGACATAAAGGGATGACCTCCCACATAAGTGGGGGCCACCCCACGTCCTAGTCTAGCAAATGGAGAGGGGAGCTGCACCTTAGGACTGCTGAGGGGTGTTGAGAGGACTTGGAGACAAAGAGTGAAAGCCAAGGGGACCCTCACCCATGTTAATTGATGAATAAGCCAAAATGACTATCTCCATCATCCCTACACTCATATGCTCGACCCATCCTCCATCTAAAGAGTAGGAATCTCTTCAAGAACTCCATTTTCACCCACCATTCACGCACCTAAGCAAGGGGAGGAAGAAGGAAGGAAATAGAAGAAGAGAAAGGAGAGAAAAAGAAGGAAAACTTGTGGTTAATAAGGTAATGACTTCATTAACCCCATTTCTTCACTATAATCATATTTCATACTCCTATTATTGTTCTACACATGTAAAAGTGTAGAATGGGAGTTGGAGGGTTGGTTCATACCCAAAACAAACTTTGAGAGCAAAGTTGACGGGTTGCCGGGAAATAACCTTTTAGAGGTTATTTGTGTTGATATGGGTTTCATGATGATGAAACCTTGTTGTTAACTTGTATAAGGTACTTCAAGGACTTTCACGGAGTTGAAAGGGGCGCCGGAGTTGTCGCCGGAGTTCGTTGAAGTTCACCGGAGTTTCACCGGGACCAAATCGGGGAGGCTAGAACTTCATAAGCTTCATTAAGGTGAGAAGACGGCTATATGCTTTATAACTTTTGCGTGAGGCATGAGATTACCTAAAGTAATCAAAAATATGTTTTATGGAATGATTAAAGATAATCAAGTATTTGCTTATACCATGTTTAACCATAAAACATAGTTGAAAAGCATGTTATGTATGTTTGATGATTTAAAATGTGATAACTTATTATGTACAATATTCCAGGGATCCAAAATGGTATTTTTGGATCAAGGATGACAAGAAGTACATGTGTATAAAATTTCACGTTAATTGGACTTCGTTTGGGCGGTCAAATGGGTGTTGACCGCCGAGACAAGGGTGATACCCGACCGGGTATGGGTAAATACCCGACCGGGTATTGATTAAAAATGGCTCCAGAAGCCACTGCCACACTAGACCCGACCGGGTAAGGTCATGGACCCGACCGGGTCTCAAGTAGAATTGGCATCCAGGGGCTACTGCCCGCCCTACCCGACCGGGTAAGGTGTGATACCCGACCGGGTATTGGGTTATACTCAAGACGGGTAGTATTTGAGTAGGTTAACGTGGACCGATCAGGTGGGACCCGTCCACGTTGGTTACTAAGGGTTGTTACATGACTATAGGACTAGGTATTGTCCATAGTTAAGTGAATGAAAGGTTAGCCATATCCAAGTTAGGGTTGGTAAGGAATAAGGTTGAGGTTGAGTACCCTCGGGACGGTAAACGATCCCAAAACTCGGTGAGGTTGAGTATCCTCAGGACGGTAAACAATCCTAAAACTCGGTGAGGTTGAGTATCCTCAGGACGGTAAACAATCCTAAAACTCGGTGAGGTTGAGTATCCTCAGGACGGTAAACAATCCTAAAACTCGGTTGAGGTTGAGTATCCTCAGGACGGTAAAAAATCCTAAAACTCGGTTGGGGTTGAGAATCCCCGGGAGGGTAAACACTCCTGAAACTCGGTAGGATATTGTGAAGGTAGAATGTAGCTTGTGAGCTAGGCATTCGGGAAAGAATGGGAAAGGTTGGGTAATTACGTTATCCCTAAAAGACTCTTTTAAATGGAAATGACCTACGGGTCAAGTATTTACAAGTATATATACAGTAAGTATCATCTTGTGGGTGGGGTAACAATGGTTACACCTATACTTATATTTATCACCCTATTTTTGGGTCTCGTGTGTGAAACATTAGTTATTCCTCATATAGCCTGCTTGTCACTAGTACTTCTATGGAGTACTGACCCCTTCGGGGGCCCTCACATTTTTCAGGTTAAGGCTAGAGTCCTACTACCTGCACCTTTGCCTAGGGTGACTGATCGAGGAGGAAGACGTGGTCCGTGCTTCCATTCTTCTTCAAACATTGATAAACTGCTCATGGATATTTTTAACAATGTTTTCTATTAAAACATTTGGGGGCCTGCGTGCCCGTATTTGCCACGTGTGGCTAAGTATCAAACATATCTTATTTTCCGCATTTGTTTGACTAATATATATTGATGTTGATTGTATGGGTTTACTAATCGGTTTGGCAATAGAACTTAACGGATGCCTTGTATGATTTAATAAGGATGAACTACGTTGTTCTTATTGGGTTGTACGGCGGTTGTCTACGTGGCACGGACGCGGTCCGGGGCGTGACAGAGCGAGCATCAAGATGTTTTCATTGAGCATCAAATTTCCTCTATTGAGTATTAAAAACATGCAAATGAATATCATGGTTTGTGCTCTCGTATCAGTAATTAACTCCTACTTGAATGATTGAATCTAATGTAATATGTTACTTTTGAAATATGCATTGATATAACATTTTAATATGAGCATAACATCAGTACCAAATGAACATACATAACTTACCAAATGAGCAATGATATGAAAATCATAAGTTTTGTTAGTTGAGCATTAAGACATTTTCATTAAACATCAAACCTCATCTATTGAGTATTTGAAATATGCAATTGGGTATCATAATTTCTGCTTCCATGTACGGAGTATATAATCTAACTCTTATGCGAATCTAATATGATACTTTAGAAATATGCATTAATATGACATTTTAAAATGAGCATAAAATATGTACCAAATAAACACATGTAACTTACAAATTGAGCATTGGAATATAATAATTTAACTTACAATGAGAAATATACGGAGTAATAATTTTAAATTATAAATAATTTATAGTATTTTGTTCTTGAATTACAAATATAATCGTGTTGTTTTTATTATATTTACTCATATACATTTATTTTACACTATACTCATTTTAGAATAACACAATACTCATTTTATTGTGATCGTAAATAAACTCAAACATTAAATAATATTTTATATTTTAAATTTTAATGATAATTGAATAAAACATTAAATCATGTTTAAAAAAATAAAGAAAAGAAAGAACTAAAAAACAAAACAGCTAAAGCATTGAAAATTGCAAAGCAACAAAAACTGAAAAGCAAAGTAAGTGAAAAGCAACGAAAAACTATAAAGCAAAGAAAGAAGTGAATAGCGACAACGAACAAAACAAAAGAGAAAACAAAAAAAGTAAAGCCAACCAACGGAGGGAAGATCGTCGCGGAAGGAAGAGTGACGACAAGAAAATAAAAGTATCACCAACCATTAACCTAACTCTTACCCTAAAAGTTGCATCTAATATAATTACAAAAAATCCGACTGTAGCATACTCTAGGTACAGCCGGCTGTATGGTATAAATTGCCAATGTTCATGACCCGATTTTCGTTACCAATTCCAATTTCATAGCTATTACGTGAACTTCTTCATGAAAGTTGAAACCACTGCACCTCCCTATGATCGACACAAATACACAATACAAGCCCATTCCATGAATCATGATAACAACCATAAAGCAATAAAAGTGGCTATTCATGAAATAATAAAAGTGTAGATACCAGGATAATATATTTCTTTTGGTGACGGGTCAAATTAAATATATTACACTAAAGTGATACAACGGTTATGACCCCCGATGCGTGTAAACTAAGAGATAACAGTATGAATATTGTAACGAAAAAATGGCCTAATAAATTATTCTAAATAATATCATTATTATATTAATAATTAAGGAATTATTATTAGAATTGAAGGGGCCAACCGTTACAATATTGAACTAGCTAGTCCTATATATATCCCATCTATTATAGGATTAGAACATCTCTCATAAGCTACATAGCATTGGAAGGTTTAGCCTACTAGCTTTCTTGGATTCTTGGGTCTTCTTAAAGTGATAATGCAAATGAATTCTCAATGTATGATTCTAATTTTAGTTCATACATGTTTGATTTCATGGATTTATATGGATTTAGCTATTATATATATTTATATATATATATATATTGCATACGGAGTTTTGTTGATATATATATATGAATATCTAACAATTGGTATCAGAGCCTACCATAATAGATCCATGGAATTCTATTCCTTAATCGACATATGTATATGTGTTCATCGACATACTTGGGGTTTTGTTTGATGATTCCCGAAGCTTTTATTTATTTGTTTGTTAAATATGCATTTTTTCTAATGGACGGTTACATATGCCTACAGCCTACAATTGTCGATTCATGATGTTTTATTCATCATTATTATATATTAAATTACTTCATGTTTCTGGCATGGATTTTATATTCCGTATGTCTTTGCATGGATTTAATACTCTGGTGGTAAATCGTCATTCTTCCGCTGCATGTGTTGATGTGTATTCATACGGATTCAAACTATTATTGAATTCTCAAGTGGCTGATCGCATGTTTTTGGTTTCATTTCAAGCATTTTGGTATAATATACGTGTTTAGTATTTCACGTGTCAAAAACGGTTTTGGTTTTGCACTTTAGCAAATATGCAGTACGAGTATGTAATTATGGTGCTAATAAAAGCCAATTAAGTTTTTTTCCACCAAGTGGAAACTGCTGGCTATATGGCACCGTTTTTTTTGCCATTATTGTAATGCTCCAATGTAACTGTTCTGTCATGATTACATTAAACGTTGTGTATGGATAAAATTTTTTATAATTTGGATCGAATTATACTCCGTATTGTGTTGATGCTCATCTATTGGATTTTCATTTTTGGACCGACTAGCAATTTTTGTTAATAAGTTTGATTAATCAAACTTTGTGATTAAATTGCTCCCGTTCATTTTCAAATCCACAAGTCAATTACCGCACATTTTTTTTTTAAATTAAAAGTAGAAGTGTGGTAAATTTTTTGAAGGGAAATTGTAAAATAAAAGAAGTTTAATATTTAAAATGAGTATATAGAAACAATATGTCACCAAAGTGATCCTATTGTGTAAGTTGCTCATATAAAATATTAAACATAGTACATACTTTGTATATAGCTCAAGTAAATATTAATCGGCCCAAAGGAAGATTAATATTTTATCAAGTTATATATATACATTTTGGTAATAATAAATATATAACAATTATAAGGTTGCACTTTAAAAGAAAAAGTCAACCCAAAGGTGGATTTTTCTTTTATATGTATTATTGTTATATTTTATTATTACAACAAGAGTACCACTAGCAATTAGTATTATTGTCCAAAGATGAAATACTAATGGTGCATTTGGTATCTTGTGATGGGTTAAAAATTATTTTACAATTTCACTAAAATATATGTTCATTGTCCTTGTTCTTTCTACAGTTAATATTTCGAGCATATCTGCCAATCTCAACTCCATCCCTGTCCTAAATGGTACTAACTTTAAGGAATGGAAAGAAAATATTCTAATAACTTTGGGCTGCATAGATCTTGACTTAGCATTAAGGGTAGAGCAACCTGCTTCTCTTACGGATGGTAGTACCCAAGATGAAAAAAAGGTACTATGAGAAGTGGGATCGCTCCAATCGCTTAAGTCTCATGATCATAAAGCGTGGCATTCCAGAATCTTTTAGGGGTGCTGTATCCGATGAGGTTACTAATGCCAAGGATTTCCTTTCTGCAATCGAGAAACGTTTTGTTAAAAGTGATAAGGCGGAAATAAGCATGTTGTTAAAAGACTTTACTTCCAAAAGGTATTCAGGAAAAGGAAATATAAGGGAGTATATTATGGAAATGTCTTATATTGTTTCTAGGCTCAAGACACTTAAGATTGAGATATCGGAAGATGTTCTCGTACACATAGTCTTGAACTCTCTTCCTAATGCATTTGATTCTTTTAAGGTCAGTTATAACTGCCAAAAAGAGAAGTGGTCTCTTAATGAGCTCATTTCATATTGCGTGCAAGAGGAAGAGAGGATGAAACAAAATAAGATAGAAAGTGCTCACTTGGCTAGTACCTCTAAGGATAAGGGTAAAAAGAGGAAGAGAACTCCCATTAAGAATGAAGCTGCTCAAGGTCCACTACAGAAGAAACATAAGGAAGGTGAAACAACCTGTTTCTTCTGTAAGAAGTCTGGACACATGAAGAAGGATTGTACCAAGTATCATGCTTGGAAAGTGAAGAAAGGTACGGTCCTTGCCTTGGTTTGTACTGAAAACAATTTGGCTTCAGTGCCTAGAAATACTTGGTGGTTAGACTCCGGTTCAACATCTAACATCAGTATTTCTATGCAGGGTTGTCTGAGCCACCGCAAGCCAAATGATGCTGAAAGATGCATCTATGTGGGAGATGGCAAAGCGGTGCATGTGGAGGCTATTGGGCATTTTAGATTGTTATTATCTACCGGTTTCTATTTGGATTTAAAAGACACTTTTATTGTTCCGTCATTTAGGGCGGAATTTGGTTTCTGTTTCTTATTTGGACAAATTAGGTTATCATTGTTCCTTTGGAAACTTCCGGTTTAATTTGTCTTTAAATTCAAATATTGTGGGGACTGGTTCTTTTATGTCATATGACAATCTTTACATGCTTGAAACAATAACTTCATATAATAATGCTTTGAATGTTGACACCCGAGGCACTAAGCGAAAGGCTGATAATGCACAATCTGGTTTTTTATGGCACAAACGATTAGGTCACATCTCTAAAAATAGAGTTGAACGTCTTGTGTCCGATGGAACACTTAATTCCATTGATTTTTCTGATTTCAATACTTGTATTGAGTGCATTAAAGGGAAACAAACCAAAAATAAGAAAAAAGGTGCATATAGAGCTACGGATATCCTAGAATTAATACACACGGATATTTGTGGGCCATTTCCTACTCCTTCATGGAATGGTCAACAATATTTTGTGTCATTCATAGACGATTACTCTAGATATGCATACTTATTTCTTATACATGAAAAATCTCAAGTCTTGGACTTGTTTAAATCTTACAAAGTGGAAGTTGAGAATCAACTCAACAAACGCATAAAGAAAGTCAAATCCGACCGTGGTGGTGAATACTATGGGAGGTATGGCGGCTCAGGTGAACAACGTCCAGGGCCTTTTGCCAAATTTCTAGAGGAATGTGGTATTGTCCCTCAATACACCATGCCGGGTTCACCTAGCATGAATGGTGTAGCTGAGAGGCGTAATAGAACCCTTAAAGAAATGGTAAGAAGTATGATTTCTCATTCTATCTTACCGGAATCCCTCTGGGGTGAGGCATTAAAGACCGCAGCTTACATTCTTAATCGAGTGCCAACTAAAGCAACTACTAAAACACCTTATGAGCTTTGGACGGGTAAAAAGCCTAGTTTAAAGCATTTCCATATTTGGGGTTGTCCAGCTGAGGCAAAGCCGTATAGGCCACATGAAAAGAAACTGGAACCCAAAACAGTTAGTAGTTACTTTATTGGTTACTCGGAGCGATCTAGGGGATATAAATTTTATAATCCCGAGGATAAAAATATTTTTGAGACGGGAACTGCCATATTTTTCGAGGATGTTGAGTTTGGGGGGAAGAATAAAGTTAGGGATGTTGTCTTTGAGGAAGAATTGATTTCAATACCTGAACCAATTCATACGGATGTTTCTTTTGAAACTAATGAGGAACCTCAACAAGGCATTATTTCATCTTCTCCTTTCCAAACTGAACAAATTGTTCAAAATGAACAAACTCAATTTCCTCTGGAACAAGTGCAACAAGAAAATGTGTCATTGCGGCGATCCACTAGAGAGAGGAGATACGCAATTCCGGATGATTATGTTGTATATCTCCAAGAACATGCGTCAAGCATGGATACAGAGAACGATGTCCTTGTGTTTATTCAAGAACATGAGGAAGAAAGTGGTGTTATGGAAGATGATCCGATCAACTTCCGTCAAGCCATGAAAAGTTCAAATTCTCAAAAGTGGATTGTGGCAATGAATGAGGAGTATAAATCTATGCAAGACAATAAAGTTTGGGAACTCGTCCCATTACCCGAAGGTTGTAAACCCATTGGTTGTAAATGGATATTTAAAACCAAAAGGGATTCAAAGGGTAATGTGGAGAGATATAAAGCTCGTCTTGTAGCTAAAGGTTATACTCAAAAAGAAGGAATTGATTATAAAGAGACCTTTTCTAAGGTTTCATCAAAGGACTCTTTTAGAATCATTATGGCTTTAGTTGCACATTTTAATTTAGAGCTTCATCAGATGGATGTTAAGACGGCGTTTCTCAATGGTGACATTGATGAAACTATTTATATGGTGCAACCAGAAAATTTTGTGATTGGAGATCCAAAACAAATGGTTTGCAAATTAACAAAATCCATCTATGGGCTAAAACAGGCTTCTCGTCAATGGTATCACAAATTTCATCAAGTCATTTTATCCTTCGGTTTTAAGATGAATGATGTAGATGATTGTGTATATCATAAGTTCAGTGGGAGTAAAATATTTTTCCTGGTCTTATATGTTGATGACATTCTTCTTGCCACTAATGACATAGGTATGTTGCATGAAACTAAGAGATTTCTATCAAAACATTTTGAAATGAAAGACCTTGGTGAAGCCTCCTTTGTATTAGGAATTGAAATCCTTCGTGAGAGATCACAAGGAATCTTAAGGTTATCACAAAGGAACTATGTCGATAAGGTCCTTAAAAGATTTGGCATGGAAGATTGTAGACCGTGTGATACCATTATCTCTAAAGGAGACAAGTTTAGTCTCGATCAGTGCCCTAAAACAAATTTGGAAATTCAAGAAATGAAAAAGATTCCCTACGCATCTGTTGTAGGAAGTCTTATGTATGCCCAAGTTTGTACGCGTCCGGATATTGCGTATATTGTTGGGATGCTAGGCAGATATCTCAGTAATCCAGGAATGGCTCATTGGGTGGCGGCCAAAAGAGTTATGAGATACTTAAAGAGGACAAGAGACTATATGCTTACATATAGAAAATCAGATCATTTGGAGGTCGTTGGATACTCCGACTCTGATTTTGCCGGTTGCAAAGACATTAGTAGATCTACTTCAGGCTATGTTTATCTAGTAGCGTGTGGTGCTGTATCTTGGAAAAGTGTTAAGCAAGATATGATAGCTACCTCAACTATGGAGGCAGAGTTGTTGGCCTGTTTTGAAGCTTCAAACCATGGAATATGGATGCACAAATTTATTGATGGGCTGAAAATAATAAATGATGTTTCAAAGCCTATCAAGATATTTTGTGACAACAATTCTACGGTGCTTTACTCTAACAACAACAAGAGCTCGAGCAAGACAAGACACATTGAAGTGAAATATCGAGCTGTTAAAGAAAGGGTTCAGAATAAAAGGGTCGCTATTGAACATATAAGTACAAACTCCATGCTAGGGGATCCTTTAATCAAGGGTCTCCCGCCAAAAGTTTTTCATGAGCATACTGCTCACTTGGGAGTCATTGATTTTAAGGAACCTCAAGTTTAGTGGGAGTTTATAAGTTATGCTTGATGTTCTATTGCTTTATGAATTTATCTTCTGATCAGAATAAAGTTTGACATTTGGTGTATTCTGAACAATTAAGATATTAAAGTTTAAAGTTTATTAAAGAAGGGTCAGTTGAAAATTTACATGTACATGCCACATTTCATGTAATTTTCATGCTACACATTTCATGATTGATCTATGTCATTATGTAATATTGATACTAGTGATCATTGGTGGTATAGTTATGTTTAACATAACAAAATGCTGCAATGGTTCTATATTAGTATGCCTGATGGACAAGATTGTTTAAGGATGTTATTTTATATGATGGTATTTTAGAGCACATAAAGTTAACACATTTTGTCAAGAATTACATATAAGGCCCAGTGGGAGATTGTTGGAAAACAATAAAAGGGGCCTAATATGTAATTAATTAAAATGTGTTTACCATCAGATAAATAATAAAAATAAAGTGGCTATTCATGAAATAATAAAAGTGTAGATACCAGGATAATATATTTCTTTTGGTGACGGGTCAAATTAAATATATTACACTAAAGTGATACAACGGTTATGACCCCCGATGCGTGTAAACTAAGAGATAACAGTATGAATATTGTAACGAAAAAATGGCCTAATAAATTATTCTAAATAATATCATTATTATATTAATAATTAAGGAATTATTATTAGAATTGAAGGGGCCAACCGTTACAATATTGAACTAGCTAGTCCTATATATATCCCATCTATTATAGGATTAGAACATCTCTCATAAGCTACATAGCATTGGAAGGTTTAGCCTACTAGCTTTCTTGGATTCTTGGGTCTTCTTAAAGTGATAATGCAAATGAATTCTCAAGGTATGATTCTAATTTTAGTTCATACATGTTTGATTTCATGGATTTATATGGATTTAGCTATTATATATATTTATATATATATATATATATATATATATTGCATACGGAGTTTTGTTGATATATATATATGAATATCTAACACATACTACTATTGAAGTAGTGAGGTAAGAAAGAAAATAAAAATAATTTTACCAAAAAAAAATGATGCAGCCAGCAAAGAATATATAGAAATTACTCCAAATAGGAGTAAAACTATGATAAAAATCTAAAATAGGACTCCTTATGTTTTTATTCCCAAATAGGACCAAATTACTCCTATTATAAACATAAGGAATTTATCATTCCATTATTGCCCCTGCTTTGTTATACGATGGATCTACACCCCCAAAACACATCTGGATAATTTCTTCTCTCCATCGCACCGCATAACACATCGAACAATTTCTTCTCCCCCTTCGGCCTTCGCACTATCATCTCTCCTCTTCCTCTCAATCCTCACCAGATCGATCAATTCAAACTGCCCTGCATATTACATCGATTTCATCGCCGACCTCATCCTTTGCCACCGACGTTGCCGACGACTCCACCCCGCACACGCCGCCGTCTGGTCAGTTTTCATTCTTCTTCTTCTTCTTCCTCTTCTTCTCCTTCTTCCTCTTCTTCTTCTTCTTCTTCTTCTTCTTCTTCATCCTCCTCCTCTTATTATTCTATTTTTTGGCTTTGAAATTGATTTTTCTGATTTTTCTTTCATTCGTCTTTTTTTTTTGTTCTGAAATTCGATTTGTTGATTTTTGGTCTTCTGTTTTGCATTTCCGTTTTCAAATTTCAGTATTTTTAATAAATTTCAAGTTTCCAGATTTTTGAATGATGGAATAAAGTTTTGCCAAGTTTATGGCAAAAATGAACACACTAACTATCGTTTTTGGCAGAACAGATTTTTTTGTAAATCTGCTTATCAAATGTTTTGTCAATAGCTTCGTAATTTTGTTTTTTTATTGTGTTAGAGTGTTTGTCGCATTCAATAAACTTATTTTACAATATTTGGTTGGTATTTCATATTTTTTCCAAAAGTATGGCAGTTTGTGGAGTTCTTCCAAGATAAATCTGCCACTTTTGGCAGAACAGATTTTTTTGTAAATCTGCTTATCTAATATTTTGTCAATAGCTTCATAATTTTGTTTTTTTATCG